GTAGCGATTACAAGTCCATAGTGTGTCATTATAACTTTATAACAACATTACACAATAGGGCTATGTATGTCTGCCTTGATGACATCAAATTTATTTTTTTAATTTCCATATCTCAAAATATTTTTTATAAGCTGACAAGAAACTGGTTTGTTTGGGTTTGGGATTTTTTTGCAGGGAGTGGGGAGGCTGTGGTTCTTGTTGGTTTTACAGACCGTTACAGAGCATTAGTTTGCTCATCTGAAAAAATAAAAACCTAATCGTCCCTCCCTACTTCTGAGAGGTGTCGTGAGGATTAACATAATGCAAGTTTAAGTGCTTTAATAAGCATCATCATTTAAAAATCCCTTACAGATGTTAGCACATGGCCTGTCGAAACAGTAGAATCCCACAAGGCCTTTAGATCGTAAACCGTGGTCTCCTGAATCCCACGGGTCTGTGACCCACATGCGCTAGCATAATAGAGCAAGACCCGAAGAACCAGAGAGAAACTACCAAGTGCTAACGTGGGTCCAGAATCCCTTTCTTTGTCTAGCTTCTGTGATTCTAAGAGGTCAATAAGTTTGTCCCTGACAAGAGAAAAAATGGCTGATTGACTTTCTCTCTGCTCGAGGATCCCAGTGTGTGGACACCAGGGATTTTGTGAAGTTCCACCAAAAACGTCCCCCCTTGGTACTCTCCATTCACATCAAACACAATGACTTCCCTGCCACTGAAGGGACTGGGATTCCTCTCCCTTCCATCTACAAGATGCATAAAACACATCATGGCCATTTAAAGGCTTGTTATTAAAAGGGTGGAGAGAAACTTCTCTTCTCTTTAGTGGTGTTCATTTTAAACTTAATCCTGGACTAAGCCTATAACATGTATGTGACCTTTTTGGTTGCATAAACAATACAATAATCTCTGTGTGTACAGAATTTTCAAACACTTAGAGTATTCATTTTTAAATGACTGCTAATTTAGTTCACTTGGCTTTTTTTTTATTAATGTGGGATTGGAACCACACTCATCATTTATCATTTCTGCACAAAAACTTATAAATTCCAGGTCCTAGAAGGAAAAACTCTTTAAACAGAATGCTTATATTCATGATCACTTTATTCCATTCAGAGACTAACAGGCCTGCGGTAGATGACAGATGAGGGAGCTGGTTCCCCTAATCATGTGGGTCCCTTCAACATCTTAGGAACCCCACCTAAAGCAAACTGTCAGTGCAGGTGAAGGTTTATTATCCTGGAAATTCTCAAAACAAGAAAGCTGCTTTTTGTTTCCTTGGCTGCCATCTAGTGGTTACTGACGTAGTGTCAATAAAACATGCTACATCTGTGAAGACTTAGAGGATAACTTGCCTGTCTTTAAAACAAAAGCAAAAAACACAGTTAAGGAAATATTATTGCAGACATGAAGCAATCATTCTTTCCAATAATTCCTATTTAGATGCAGAAGATCATTCATTCTCTTTCCTGTTTCCTGGTCTACATTCCTTTCCGTGAAAAGACAACTGATTCAATTATCAAACATTTATTTGGCACTAATACTGTGCACTAGGACTAGGGCCATAGGGATGAATAAGATAAGGTCTCTGCCTTCCGGGCAGGAGAGACATGAAATCAAATAATGGGCAACGTGATGAGTGCTTAAAAAAGAATAGATGAGCCTTCAGGGACACCAAGAAGAAAGAAAATCTGTATTATTGGCCAGAAGAGTTGAGTGGAGGCTTGAGTGATGAGTGGGAGTTCTCCAGACAGACAAGAGGGAAAGCGTATAGGAGAGTTGGGAGGCTGGGTGTTGGGGACATTAAGAAACTATATCAGGAATATAGGCAGAGGCGAGATCAGGAAGGGCCTTTGGAGATTGCATTAGATAACTATTACTGCAACAACCAACCTCAAAACAATGGAATCCAACAATCAGCACTGATTTCTCACTCATGACTGCGTGTGGGCTGGGCTAACTGTGCCCTACTTGTCTCTCAGCCTCTCCTGGGACCCTCCTGGGACCAGCGGGCACCCTGGGCCTCTTCTTGTCATGTCACCAGCAGAAGCACAAGAGGAAAAGCAGAAACATGTAAGGCCTCTTAAGGCCGAGGCTTAGAACTAGCCTGCTATCTCTTTCCTGCATCCTATTAGCCAAGGCAAGTCACTTGGCTGAACCCAAGTCAGGGGCATGGAAATATCCTCCACCCTTTAGTGGGAAGGCCTATGAAGTCACAGGGCAAAGGACTCGAATTGGGGGTTGAAGTGTAGGAATTGGGGCCAATAATGCATCTGTCACAAGTTCTATCTTGGAAATATTGGGTTTGAGGTACCCTTGAATTTGTCTAAAATGTAGTTGGGAAATCATTATATAGCTCAAAATAGAAGTCTGGCTTTGAATGATGGATCCAGGCGTCCAAAGACCCCCAAACATGTACACTTGTGGGCCCCGTCCCACACCAACTGGTTCAGAATCTCTAGGAGTGAGATTGAGAATCTGCATTTTAACTAGTTCCCCAGATGATGGTTCATATTTACTGAAGTTTGAGATTCACTGGCAGATAAATAATAAAATAGAGAAAAAGACAAGGAAGGATCACCAAGAAGGAAAGGAGTGAAAAGAAGAAATGGTTCCCACAAAGGATACTAGAGAGTGGGAAGAGGGAGGGGACACTAGAAAGGAGTAGCTTTAAACACAAACGTGTGTGTAATTGTGTCAAAAGCTGCCCACATGTCGAGTAGGACAAGGACTGAAAAATGTCCCAAACACTTCACAATTAGGAAATACTTTATGATCAGTATACAATACTGACTCCAGGGATATCATTATGTCTATTCTGCAGATGAAAAAAACATGGCATGAAATAAAATGAAAATCCACCATCTCTTCCATTTCTTTTTTCACGGGTCCTGTATTACCCTGGTGAAATTGGTTAATTCCACATCTAAGCTGACATATCAATCAAAAAATCTAAATTAAAAATCTAAAAATAAAGTTAGTCTCTGGCTAATTATTAAAGAAATAAAAATTATATTTTTTGTTCCATTGGTTCTCATATCATGCCAGATATTATTAAATTAGCATGCTAAAATGGGGCTCTTTCTAATAACTATTCCCCTTCTTCATTATTTATACTGCTGGTTTTCTTAAGCAGGTCAAAGGATGTTGAAGAGTGTATTATCACTAATGCTTGGATTTCCAAGAGAGATTTCTAGAACATAGCACCCCTATTCACATATCACACACTTTTTCTGAATGCCAGGACCCAAGATCCAGTCACTAGTGGGTGGATGCTGGGGACAGCTCAAGAAGCACTATACTAACCAGGGACCTCTCAGGTGAAGAGGTTCTGATATTGGGCTATCAAGTTGATTGATCCTACTCCACTCCAGTTCATCTGGAGGCACCTTTATTTGAATGTGGTTTGCTTGAATGTTCTTGATCAATTCAAAAATACCACTAGTACATCTAGGATTCTATTTCAAAGATATATTTTATGGCTTCATTGGGAATGGCAAGGTTGCAGTGTGGAAAAGTGAGTGCACCCACGAATGCATTCACCCAGCTTTGGGGGAGCCCTAAAACAGATCCAACCACAGATTGGGGACTAAAAGACAAACTGAGGGGCTCTCCATCGAGACCAAGAATCTCAGCTAACTTGAGCCTAGACCAGTGATAAACCAACGAATATCTGCCTCTTGAGAGCTTTATGTGCCGTGGCCAAAACCAATATTGACTGTGCTGTTTTAGACTTATCTTTGCTAGGTTTCTCCTTGTGAGCATTTTAAATGAGATATCTAATGCCTGGTGAACATTATGTAACTGTCAAGTCAGCAGTTCAGTAGCACCTCCATCTTTTCAAATTAAAAGACCTAAAGTACTTCAGTTTCAGATTCTCAAAAAGGGAAAGCTTAGGGGATGCACAGAAATATAGTAGAAATATAATGATTCTAATGAACATGCACATAAACCTCCGCCTTGTTTTGTCTCTGTCTAGCCTTTGCAGGTTAAAAACAAACACACACACAAATAAAAACAGCTGGGTTAGTAGGCAAATCCTTCTCAAGGGTCTCTCAACCGAAGCCCAGGCATCTACATCTGATTGCAGATAAATGAAAACTCACTATTAATTAAATTTGACGTCAAAAGTTAAAAAGAAAAATCTACCAGGCTTTCATCCTTCCTTGTTCTTCACCATGGAGTTCAAGAAGAAGTGACAATGGCTCTCACATAAGGCAGTAAAAGGTAGTGGTTACAAATGTGGGTCATGGTACGAGACTGCACGGGTTCAAATCCTGCCTCCGCTGTTTATGATCATAGACCTCAGGCAATTTACCAGACTTCTCAGTGCCTCAGTTTCCTGAGCCATGAAATGCAGATACCTCCTTCTCAGGGTCATGAGAGGATTAAATGAGTTATTACAAAAAACATGCTTAGAAGGGTACTTAGAATGCAGATAGGGCTCAGTAATTGTAAGCTATTACTAATGTGTCCAGAAGTCTCCAGATATTTCTAAAAGGAAGGCTAATTGTCCCACTGCCTTAAAGTTTTGAAACCTCTGAGGCTGAAGGATGTCGAAAGTCAGATGCCAAAGCATAGGAAGTGAGAACGCTCCCAGCAATGCTGCCACTCCACGCAAACTCGGCTACACTCTAACATGCCATGTCTAAACAATTAGTAGGTGTTAGTTAATTATGTCTCTCATAGTTAATTTTAACCTGACAACAAGGCTTAAGCCTAAGAGATGTATTTAATCCTTTTGAGAGCGTACGAAACTGTGTGCCTCCAGTGGAGGTTTATTCTGCCTGCTATACAAACCCGACTAGTTACCTTGTCAGAGCTAAATTTTACTAAAAAATAAACCTCTCTCTCCCCCTAAGGTGTTCTCTGATTTGAACTTTGCTCTCTGAAAATTCAAGTTTCAGCCTGAGCCTAAAAAATTTGGTGCCTCCTCAGGAAAGAAAATGGGACAGAAAAAGAAAAACCATCTCATGACTTAATTTCTTTTTTGGTATTATTTAAAGACATGCAAAGCCTAGAGAAACTCCTGAGAGAAGCTGTAATCTACGGCCAGCCTCGAACCCGCAGAGCTTGGAAAAAGATTCTTATCCTGGTAGAAGGCATCTACAGGTATGTAAATAACCAGAGACATTTTAACACACTGAGGCCTACAGCAAGCTGACAAATGGGGAAAGGCTGACCTCTCCTAGCTAAATGGAAAAATGAGTTAGATGTGGGTATTATGGCGGGACCTGAGCCAGAGCTATCAATGTGAGCTGTCAGGCCTTGGGTCAACAGTCTTTTTAATGACTATACATATTGCAGAGCACCTTGGAGTCTGGCATGCTCGTGAAGGCTTCCTCAGAATATCCTCACAGGGCATTGCTAACTTGCACTGATTCTTTCCACTATCCTTGGCTGCTCTACAGTTTCAAAGGCCTTTAGGGACTGGTTGTTCAACATCAGAATGCTCCCTGCCTTTATGACAGTAGTATACATTGCTGATAGGCACCCAGATGCCCCTCACCAGACAGTGCACCCAACCTCCAGTTGCTCGCTGAACCTGGCCAATAGTTGGTATCAGAAAACAAAAGACCTGCTCATTCCTAGGTAGGACTAACCTAGAGTGCAATTCATCAAGAGCTGGATGGGGCGGGGCTGGTCTTGCCGTCTGAAGTTATGCTCAAGTCTGCGTTTTCCCACCGCTCTTAACCTAAGCAGACAAAACACCTACTAAGCCATTCAGAGCTGCACTTTTATATCGCAGGTGGTGATTAAATTTGCTTCATTCTCTGTCTGAATCGATTATCATTACTGAGATGGAAGTTACCTGCAAGCCTTTCTTCTGTTCGATGCCCTAGTCCACGAGTCAAGGAAACATTGTCTCTTGAGTTGCTCATTCCTAAATCAATTCTCAAACAATCCTAATGTTAGGGAATCAAGGGAGATGTTTCCCATGAAATAATTACAGAAAAGTGAAAAATATTAAAAGGCAGGGGATGAGGGTGTAACCTCCTCAACCAGAAGGAGTGTGGCTGCAAAGGAGACTTGAGGACAGAAGCAGCATTTCTTTCAGCCAGCTAATCTAATCAGTGCCGAGTGCACATTGTTTCTGTCATGTGACTAAATAACAAGCAGCAGAAGACATGTACTCCCTCTCTTTTGGAAAAAAGAAGTGCTTTCTCCCAAATTTAAAATAATATAATAATAATAATCCTAGTATCATTTTTTTTCTCTAGCACTTACTGCCACCATTGTTGGTGTTCTGGGTGTTCCCAGTGCCACCGTGGTGTTGCAAAGTTCACCCCCTTCTGTATCCCCTATCAGTACCTCCTCAGGTCAGCCCCAACAGAATGTCCTGTTTATGAAGTCTTTGGGATCGCCCTACAGCAGTGTTATCAACCAGGGTGATTTCTCCTCCTGCAACCCACCCCCACCCTGGGCACATCTGGCCATTTTCGGTTGTCACAACTGCAGTAGAGCACTACTGGCATCTAGTGGGCAGAGGCCAGGGATGCTGCTACACATCTTACAATGTGCGAGATAGTCCCCTACAACAAAAAATTATCCAGCTCAAAATGTCAGTAGTGCTGAGGTTGAGATGCCCTGCTGTAGAATAATTTAACTACTCACTGGCCTTGAACTTGCTACTTTTAGGAAATAATCTCATAGTGACTCTGGGCTGTCATAACCTCAAGCGTGGGTCTTTCTCCAGCTGCCAGCCTGGGAAGGGAGCCCTTATCCAAACAGCTGTCACTCAGGGCTGGACTAGCGGGAGGATGTATCACCTGAGGGAGAGCAGATGGGCATCTCCTCTAACCAGAGTAAACAGAACCCAACTGCAGATAAGTAGAACTTGGCTCCACTACAAGAAAGTTGCATTTTAAGCACTTTGATCATGGCTGAAATCAAGTGGACCACCAGAGTTTTCAAATATTCCCATCAGTTACACAGAGAAACCTCTCCAGCTGCAGGGCGTGTTAATGCTTACGGTGGGCCTGTGTCCTACCATGATCTCAGGAGGACAGAGGAGACGGGTGTGGACTTCAGCTCCAAGCCAGTGTGGCACCAAACCACAGCTTAGGCTTCACTAGCAACGGTGACTGTTTCATTATCTATTGCTGTATAACCAATCACCCAAAATATAATGGCTTACTCAGCAAGGAGTCCTTATTTCCCATGCTGTCTGGACCAAGTAGGCAGTTCTTCTTCTGCTCCACATGGTGTTGGTTAGGGGGCGTTCATGGGGCTGCATTCAGCTGGGAGTTCAGCTGGGGCTGGAACATCCAAAGTGACCTCCCTCACACATTTGGGCTCTTGGTACCGGCTGTTGACTGAGGGCTTTGTTCTCTTCTCTTCTTTGGGGTACTTTCTCTATGAGTAGGCTCTTCTCACTCAGCAGTCTAGCCAGAGCTTCCTTACAACATGGCAGCTGGCTTCCAAGAGAAGGAAAGCAGAAGCTGCCAGCCTATTAATGGCAAGGCCCAGAACTGGTACAGCATCACTTCTGCCATCACTCCTTCTATTGGTCAAAGCACATCACAAGGCCAGCCCGGATTCAAAGGGAGGGGAACTAGAGCCCACTTCTTGATGGGAGGATTGGCTAGTGTGTACAGGGGTGAGAAGACCTGCAGGCAGCCATCTTTGGAGGGACTCTACCACAGAGGCTCAATTAACCTGGTTTGTGTGCAGAGTGAAGTGTCCACTTCCCATGGACTTGCCTTCCTGGAAAGGTTCCTTTTATCTCATCTGCACAGAAATCTTATCTTCAAATGAGACTGTGACCTAAAAGCCCTCATAGATAGAAAGCAGGGCACCTCTTAGACAAGCCTCAGTACTTCCTGGGGCCTCAGTTTCCTCATCTGTAAAATAAAGCTAGTCTGAGGTAGAGTTCTGGAACATGTGGGTGCTCTCATTTGCTGCCATCACCAGAAAATGAAATGATTTCCCACAAGATTTTCCAAAGGGCCAGGATTAGGAATGTGAAATCAATAGTTCACAAATGTACTGCTACTTTTTAGTGATATGTTAGGGACACATACCTTGTGGATATCTACACAAAACCTCCTTTGGATTTTTACTCCCAGATTTTTTCATCTCTTGTTTGTGGTTTGCCACCATGAGCCAAGTCCTCCCAACACAGAGAGCTCACAAAAATCATTTTTTTTATAACTCCAAAAGAGAGGAGACAGCCAAATAAGACAGTTTCAGGCAGGTATCAAGTTAGAGAAGGCTAGATACGAAGTCTGAGAAGTCAGTAAATTACACAAAAAAAGTTATAATAATAATAATAGTAAAATAATGATAACATCACCATCCATAGATCATCTAGGTACTATTATTTACATATAGAATATAGAATATAGAGGAGTCAGGATTTGGAAGAGACCTGGGACCTGGGTTCAAATCCTGGTGTTGCCGCCTACAGCTGAGTGCCCTTCATAGTATTAACATGTGAGTATTAAATGAGATCATATAAGCTAGTGCTTGGCAGAAGCCCAGCCCATAGTAAGCCCACAATCAAGGGTAGCTGCCTTCATCATTAAATTTATTTTCAGTTTAAGAAGTTGCAACTCAGAAAACAAGCTGTCTACATAGCAAAGCTGTTTGCTTTTCACTCACCTAGAGGATGGATGTCAGAGGAAGGAATTCACATTTATCATGTATATACTTCTTGCTAAACATGTCACATGTGTGATCTTGAGTAAGCTTCCCCAGTACCCACGAGGTTATTGGGAGGATGGAGACACTGAGGCTCCGAGGCCTAAATAGCTTGCCCCAGGGCAGATAACTGAGATTAAACAGAGCTGGTATTTAAACTGGGTGTCCCTGCTGCGACAGAGGCCCAATGTAAACAGAAGAGTCTGTTCATGTGGCCACATCCAATGAAATAAATATAGAAAATGCAAGGTCATCCCTCTGACTTTCACTATTTACCCAGCTAAAGCGCAGTTTCTTCATCTGTAAAATAGGGTGATTGAAACTTGAAGTCTGAAGTTCTATGATTCAATAATTTTTGGTTTAAAGTACAATTGTATTGTTTTAGGGTTCTCGTCTGTATTTTCCTTTAAGTATTGTTTTAAAGTCACACTCCTAGTTTTGTGTCTCTGAGAAGTTTAGATTTCTTGTCAACTCTTGAATGTAAGACCAGAAACCATAAAAATCCTAGAAGAAAATATAGCCAGTACACTCTTTGACATCGGTCTTAGCAGCATCTTTTCGAATACCATGTTTACTCAGGCAAGGGAAACAAAAAAACAAATAAACAAATGGGACTACATCAGACTAAAGAGCTTCTGCAAGGCAAAGGAAACCACGAAAAGAATGAAAAGACAACCCGCCAACTCAGAGAAAATATTTGCAAATCATATATCTGACAAGGGATTAATCTCCAAAATATATAAAGAACTCATACAACTCAGCAACAAAAAAACAAACAACTTGATCAAAAAATTGGCAGAGGATATAAACAGACATTTTTCCAAAGAAGATATACAGATGGCCAAGAGGCACATGAAATGATGTTCAACATCACTAATTATTAGGGAAATGCAAATCAAAACTACCATGAGATGTCACCTTATACCTATCAGAATGGCTATAATCACCAAGACAAAAAATAACAAATGTTGGAGAGGATGTGGAGAAAAGGGAACCCCCTTACACTGCCAGTGGGAACGCAAACTGGTGCAGCCTCTATGGAAAACAGTTTGGAGATTTCTCAAAAAATTAAAAATAGACATACCATACGATCCAGCTAACCCACTACTGGGTATTTATCCAAAGAACTTGAAATCACCAATTCAAAGAGGCTTTTGCACCCCTATGTTGATTGCAGCATTATTCACAATAGCCAAGACGAGGAGGCAACCCAAGTGTCCATCAACTGATGAATGGATAAAGAAGGTGTAATATATATATACAATGGAATACTACTCACCCATAAAAAAGACAAAATTGTCCCATTTGCAACAACCTGGATGGACCTTGAGGGTATTACGTTAAGCAAAATAAGCTAGACAGAGAAAGACAACCACCACATGACATCACTCATATGTGGAAGATAAACAAGTACACAGATGAAGAGAACAGTTTAGTGGTTACCAGAGGGGAAGGGGGCTGGGTGTTAAGTGAATGAGTTAAAGGGGCACATATGCATGGCGATGGATAAATGTTAGACTATCGATGGTAAGCCCGATGCAGTCTATACAGAAACCGATAAATAATAATGTACACCTGAAATTACACCATGTTATAAACCATTATGACTTCAATAAAATAACTGAAAAAAAAAAAAAAAAAGAGAGAAATCGCAAAATTATTCATAAATATACTGGAGAGGGAGAGAGGCGTCCCAAATAACCTGGGATATAAACTAGCATAGCTAGAGCCCAAGCTTTAAAATGAATCAAGAAATAATACCAAAATTTCAAAATTCCAAAAAGACATATGTAAACAAATGTTGAAGTGTCAGAATGCCATTTTCTCTAAGAATATAAGCCATTCTCCTCCCCAAAATAATGTATGTTTAAGGATTGAGAACTTCAGTGGTAATCTCTAACCTATATCTCTACGGTTTAAACAAATAAAGACAAAGAAAAAGAAAACAGTAGTTAGTTTATTTTTAATTAGTCTTAGATCCTTTTTTTCTCTCTTTCTACCTTCCTTTCTTCTCTTCAATTATACTTTGAGCCCACCAACAAGATTTTTCCGCCATGTAAGTTGACAAACCAGTGGTTTAATTCCCAATCCAGCCAGTGGATAATATGCTTTATATATGGAGGAGAAGGTGGTTACGGGGAGATTTCAAAAATGAGTCTTGTCACTTAGCTAATACATTATGTAATAGAAAAGATATAAAGAAATTATTCACTGGTTTGCTGGTTTAAGAACAATTCAAGTCCCTGCACAGAGCTTCAAATTAACTGGTGGAATTATCTTTGCCTACAGTTGTATTTTAGTTGTTTTTCTTCTACTGAAGTCAAAAGAAAACACAACCTTCCACTTAAAAAGAAAGAATAAAACACTGTTCTTGTTTTCTTTATCATTTTTGGCACTGTTTTTTGACAGCAATTCATGGGAATAACATAGATAGCCTCTTTATGCACGCACCAACTCAATATCCCACTATAGGAAAGGCTCAATTCAAATTTGATCACATTGAGAAAATGAAAACTTAGTTTGGGTGAACATAACTCTTTCTAAAAGCTGAGTTCTCCCTAGGACGCATGTGTGCCCTGCGTTAACTCCAGAAATCAACAGTATCATAGAGTCATTAATCTTAGAGGAAGAAATATAAACCAGGTGGGCCGACTCCTAACACCAGCTAGGCCAGCCCCAGCAAAGGGTAGCTAATTAGTGGTCCTGAGTGTCTGCAAACTGTTCAGCATTAACTCTGGCTCCTACCAAATTCAGTTCCAGGAAAAGGATGGCTATTTGTGACATGTCAGGTTTCTAGCGTATTTGTGTTACCAACTTATAACATTTTAAAGATGAAAAGAAAATTCTAGAATTTTGAGAGCAGACAGCCATTTATTATGTATGACACCCATATGCCGTGTTCTTAGAAGATTCAACACAGACCATTGTCAAGGGCTCCCAATATCTCAAGTTAGGCCTCATTGTAACCATTTCCTCCTAATCTCCTTCTCCTGAGAACAAGAACAATACACTGAGTGCTCATGGTGTGTCAGACACTTTACAAGCATTATTTCTTGTCATCCTTATAAAGCCCTTATGAGGAGGGTCCCATCATCATGCTTATTTTACATATGAGAAAACTGAGGCAGAGAACATCCTGTAAGTTGTCCAAGTTTGCAATTAGTAAGTGGTGTGGCTACAATCTACGCTTGGGCAGTCAGATGGCTGTACCTCCTCCTCCTCAATGGAAACAACTTTAACAAGCAATTAATCTAAGAAAATATTGGAATTAACTCACAAACTTATATAAGGGAAGATGACTCTCTTTGGTTTTCATTTTGTTAAAATCTAAAAATAGTCATTCAGAATGATCTTGTGAAAAGCACAAATGCAATAAGCTGGTGTTCCTTAAAATTAAGAACTTCTCTGCAAAAGACAATGTCAAGAGAATTAGAAGATAAGCACAGACTGGAAGAAAATATTTGCAAAAGATGCGTCTGATAAAGAACTGTTATCTAAAATATACAAAGAACTCTTAAAACTCAACAATACGAAAACAAACAACCTTATTAAAAATGGGCCAAAGCTTAACAGACACTTCGCCAAAGAAGATATACAGATGGCAAATAGACATATGAAAAGATGCTCCACATCATATGTCATCAGGAAAATACAATTAAAATAATAAGATACCACCACACACCTATTAGAAAGCCAAAATCTGGAACTCTGACAACAGTAAATGCTGGTGGGGATGTGAAGCACCAGGAACTCGCATTCATTGCTGATGGGAATGCAAAATGGTCCAGCCACTTTGAAGACGGTTTGGTGGTTTCTTACAAAATTAAACATACTCTTACCATACGATCCACCAATCGTGCTCCTTGTTATTTACCCAAAGGAGATGAAAACTTGTATGTGCTCAAAAACCTGCACACAGATGTTTATAGCAGCTTTACGCATAATTGCCAAAACTTGGAGGCAACTAAGAGGCCCTTCAGTAGATGAATGAATAAATAAACTGTGGTACATCCAGACAATGGAATATTATTCACCGCTAAAAGGAAATGAGCTATCAAACCATGAAAAGACATGGAGGAAACCTAAATGCACATTATTGAGTGAAAGAAGCCAATCTGAAAAGAGTACATACTGTTGATTCCAACTATATAACATTCTGGAAAAGGCAAAACTAGGGAGACAATAAACAGATCAGTAGTTGCCAGTGGTTGGGCTGGGGGAGAGATGAATAGTGGAGCACAATAAATTTTTAGGGCAATGAAAATACCCTGTATGATATTATGATGATGGAAACATGTCATTATAGATTTGTCCAAACCCATAGAATGTACGACATCAAGAGTGAACCCTAATATAAACTATGGACTTTGGCTGATAATGATGTGTCAATGTAGGTTCATCAATTGTAATAAATGTACCACTCTGGTAGGGGATGTTGTTAATGGGGGAGGCTATGCATGTGTGGGGCAGGTGGTGTACGGGAAATCTCTGTCCCTTCCTCTCAATTTTTCTGTGAACCTAAAACTGCTCTAAAAAATAAAGTCCTTTCAAAAAAAAAAGCACAAATGCTGTACTCAATGATTTACTCCCTCCAAACCCACACCAGTTGGTCTGGGTAACTGCACAACCAGCTGGATTGTTTTGACTGACTCAACCTAACACTTAAGTTTATTTTTTTTAATACATTAAATTTAATAAATAAACTAATTGGAAGAAGGGACAAGTTCAACTCTCTGTTTGTGTCAATTGATTAGTTCTTGAATTGTTTGACAAGTTCCTTTGTGTGGCAAGGGTGTGAGTCTGTGTGTTTTCATAGAACTCGCCTGTCAGTGTAGTCAAAACTGTGTGTGGTGTAGACACAGCTTACGAAGTGTTGGGAGAACTGATTCAAGTCAAAAGTTCTTTTAAATCCCCTGAGTTCCAGAGGCACTATGTAAATATGAATTTTAATTTTGCTTATTTATTTACTTCATATTTATCCCTATGCTGGAGGACTTGAAGTGTTTTTGCAATTTACAATACTGTGAAAAATTAAGCACTTAGGGCTAAAACAAAGGGTTTCTTCTACAGCAATGGTTCTCAAAGTGTTGTCCCCAACCAGCAGTTCGTGCATCTCCTGGGGAGTTTGGTAGAAAAGCAAATTCTCAGCCTACCCCAGACCTACTAAATCAGATACTCTGGGGGTGGCGTCCAGCAATCTGTGTTTTAACAAACCATTCAGAGGATTCTGATGCTTACTCGAGATTGAGAATTGACACGGAGCTTCCCAGGAGGGTACACACTAGTGACGAGCATTTCTCTTTATGCCCTAGCATGGAAGGTTCCATCGTGCGTCTGCCCCAGATCGTGGCTCTAAAGAAGAAATACAAGGCTTATCTCTACATAGATGAAGCTCACAGTATTGGGTCCGTGGGCCCAACCGGCCGGGGTGTCGTGGAATTTTTTGGAATGGACCCTGGAGATGTTGATGTGTACATGGGCACGTTCACCAAAAGCTTTGGATCCTCAGGAGGTTATATAGCTGGAAGGAAGGTAAGAGAGGGACTCCTCATGTCTATTTAAAACCTAAATGCTCTGGGGACGCAGTCTGCAGGGCTTCTCTGCATTCCATGAGAGCTGCAGTTCAGTTCACCACACCTCAACTGCTCACTGTGGGCTCGAGACAGTGGGTTCACAGCCAAGAAATGCCCAGAACGTCAAGGAGCTCACCCTCTAATAGTGAAGAGGAGCACGTGACAAGTAATCACATTATAACAAAATGCCAGCACTAGAAGTGCACACAGGCAAGGACTTAGTGCAAAAGAGAAGGAGGATTAAGTCTGCAGAGCAGTCTCTCAGATGTCTTAGAACAAATGTCAGTCTTATAGACAAATGATGGAGGGTTATACTTCAGAAAGAGGGAATAATGTATACCAAGCCACAGAAGTGATAAGAGGATGTTACAGAACTGTAAATAGTTTGGTAAATGAAAAATACAAAGCGGGTAATAGCAAAGGTGGGCAAAGGTCAGATATTAAGGCGGGTGACCTTGTGCTACATGTTGTGGGTTTTAAGAGTTTTAATCAAAATAGTAGCAAGATCAGAAATGTACTTTTAAGAGATTTTCTCTGCAAAATAAGTCTCTCCCACAATTTTGGATAAGCCATAGGTCAAATCTTGTCATCCTCCAATGTCTTATATATTCGCCTTAAAAATTCTGATCTGATGGGATTACACTCTGAAATGGGTGTTATCCCTGTCATTCTGGTGCCAGTATCACCAAGGGAGTTGCCAATATAAAACAGGAAATGTTTAAAAGAATTAAAAAGAAGAGAGAAGGAAAGGAGAAAAAGAAAATGAAATCTTTAAACTTGGGTTTGAGCAATAAAGGAGTCAGCTGTCTGCCGCATATGACAGTTTTATGCAAATTCTGAGAGCTATCTGGTACAAGCCGACACCTGTCCCAAAGAGACCGTGTGACAGCGGTGCTGGCTCCTTCTATGAGGGCACCTCAGGCTCCAGCCAGAGCAACAGCTTATCTAAAATTCAAAATTCCCTACTCACTGTGGCCAGCAGGAACAAGAGTTCAGACTCCTGGTGAACCAGTTGGACAACCAGAGTGCATCTGAAAACAGCCCCTGATTTAAAACAACAGATTAACTGTAGCCCCTCACACTGCATGAGACGTACAAATGCTTAATATGTTCAGAGTTTTCAGTGGTCTTTACCCGTGAAGAAGCCCTACTTTCTCCCAAGCTCAAAGCCTTGGCCTGTGGGAATTAGCTGGGTAATGCTAAAAACATAGGGAATGCCCAGGATCTTACAAAATTCAGCCAAACCTGAGGAAAGGTTAAATGTCCCCTTCCTCAACTGTTGAGGCAGTGGGATCAGAGGGTCTCAAATTTAGGAGGTCCCTCATCCAGGCTACATCGCTGTATGAGCCTGTGGTTGTGTGATTACTTTAGCAGCAGTTCTGAGCTCCGAAATTTTTAACCAAGCGTAACTCTGTTTCCTGAACCAAAGGCACCTGAATAAACTGAAGCAAGCGGATCCTTGAAATCGTGTCAAATTTGGTAGATGTCACATTTTGCCCCTTAGAGTTCGTGCATTTGATACCCACTTTACACAAAGGCTCGTGACTGGCCGGAAGTCAGGAACAGCTCGCTAGCGTTCTCTCCCCTTCTCTCCGTCCCGAAGTCAGTTGGATTATTTTAAAAGTGTATTTGCTCTTGTCTGTGTAACTTCTGTTCATTTGGGGAAGATACTGAGCAATTGTGAAAATTATTATTATTTACATTAATCAGGATGCAGAAAAAGGATGTAGATCTGTTCATTTCCTTGCTTTTTAAAATACTCATTCCGTGCGTACTTGGACCCGGGGGTCTGCATCCCTGCTCCTCCTTTTTCCCCCTCTTTCTCCTCCCGCTCCATATTGCCCTGCAGTCTCCGAATTTACCACTAGATGGCAGCAAGAATTAGAGAGTTTGGCAGAGGCCGGTTAGCTTATCCAGAGACTTCTGCTCTGAAACAGTAAGATTCAAAACGTGGAAAACACAGGGTAGTTTTCAAAACGGGAGAGTGAGCAGGAGATAGGAGGCCACTTGAGAAAACGTCTGTTGTGTGTAGTTCCCTGATTTAAAAATCAGTCAGATATACACCTGTCTGGAATGGTTTTAGTGAGACTGATAAACCCAGATAAACTGTGGTTTCCTTCCAGCCTAACGAGCCCATGAGTTAATGAAAGTTATATATCTGCTCCTCTGTACCTTTAATTTTTTAAATTACGTTAATTTTAAATTATGTGTAATTGCAATTTAAATCATAGTTTTTATTCCCCTGGACTTTGAATAATTTTGTGAAGAATTTTCACTCATTGTTTTAAACTATGCTTTATAAAGGATTGGACAAATGCTAAAGATTTTTGTTTGAAAAAAATCTTTCTGCTTATGTATTTAAATAATTAGAGTACAGTTTTCATCATGTATTATTTTCTGTATATTTTGCAGTATCTATCTCAATTTGAGGGGTACCACAAGATATCCAGGATTCTAAACCAATGGGTACAAAAACAAAATTAACCATAAAAAAATGTTAAAGTGCACACACTAGCACTTTACATTTTTCTGAAACCCTAATAATTTCAATTCAGTGTGCTCATGGGGTTCTTACTAAATCTTGAGATTTGAAAATAATCAGTTGGGTCCAAAAATCTAGAAAAAGATAAAACCGTCTGGCTCTTAACTCACTTTTTAAACGTCAGTGTTAGGGTTGGTGGTAGAGGGACTGCATTCCCAGTAACAGTTCTGAGGAGGCTCTAGAGACCTTTGTGGAGTTGGTCAAGCTCAGAACGGTATGCGTTAACAACTAGATGTGTCACGTAAGAAAACCTATTTGAAAACACACAAGGGGAAAAAATTGGTTTGGTTCTAAGATACTACCACACCGAGTAGAGATTTTGTCTTGGCCTCAGCCTTCCTGTCACAAAATGTCCTACAAATTTGTCTCTGCTATTGGAGTTTACTGCCCTGGCCTCGACCTACTCTCCCCAGCTCAGGGAAACTGCTAAAATAATCTCTCAAGAGCCAGTAAGATTTTACTATTTTGCTCATTTTGAGTTTGGAGCTGCTGTAGATGAGCTGTGAATAACCCCACTTGGAGCATTCCATCCTTTCAAGACCTGTGAGGTGAAGTATCGGGTAATTACTTCTCTCCACCTGTCAGAGCTCCATACCGTGAATGGCTTCTTAGAAGAAAGCCTGAGCTGATAGGGCTTGTTTTCTTATTTTTATTTTTTAATTTTTGTTGATCCAGTTGCTGAGATGTGGTCAACACTGCAGACCTCAGTTTCTGGGGTCCAAATTTTTCTCAGGCCTGGATCCTGGGTCCTCTTGTATGCCTGGTGCTAACCACCGGCTTTCACAGCCTCCACAGGCTGACCAGAGACTTGCAAATGAATGAAGCAAAGGCAGCCCTCATGACTGTTAGGTTGCAGGGCTGGAATTCTGGAGGAGGAAAGTGGGGCGGGGCAGCCAAGGTTGGGGCGAGTGTTAGCCCCGGAAGCCTGTGCGCCAGACAAAGGCAGGCCCCTCGCGGAAGTCAGCTCTGCCCTGTGTGCTGAGCCCTGGCTGTATTTGACAGCCCTTTGAAGTAAATGGGGGTCATGGAATGAACACCAAGATGTTTATTCTAAGACCCTCCTGTCTCATTTCCTCAGAAAAGCAACCCTTGTCCTTGAACTCCAGGCCTATGAGTAGAGAAAATAATCAGGGTTTTGAACTTACAAATGGACTTGGAAACCTCAATCTGAGGAGACCTCTAACCCACCCTGAAAGAAGACACAACCCAGATTCGCCTTGCAAAAGACCAAAGCCAACTCTTAATTCGTGGCTCATGTTGCCCAATGGAGGAATGACAGGAGGGAATCAGAAACCAGGAACCAAGGCTTCCTGGATGCTCTGCAGGAGTTACTCAGAGAGCCCCACTTTCTGAACCACACGAGCAAATTAGCTCCTATCCACAGACTTGGACTCTGAGAGAAATTGGACTCAGTCTAAAAGAAGTAAGATTGTGGGCAAGATAGTCTTAATGTTAAAAGGGAGCGATACTGCACTGATGAGGCATTTATTCCAACTAAGAATACGTGTGACCGCAGCTTTATGAAATTTCTCAATTTGCAAAGGAAAATTGGGGGTTGAGGACATTGAGAAGAGCCCTTTAGGGATCAAAGGAATCTTTGTTTTGTTTCTTTGCCTGATCTTTGTCAACAATGCCCCAAGGCTAAGAGAATATCACTACACTCTTCCTAAGAATGCAGCTTAGTACCCCCTATAGACTTAGGGATCCTCACCATCCTTCCTCAGTCCCTAAGACCCCTCTGCTTTCCATTAGACCATTGACCAAGCCCCTGCTAAGTACCCAGCACTACGGATTTTAAGTGAAGTGTATGACCCCATTCCCTGCTCTCAAGGTAGTTTCGGTCTCTGGAGAAATAGGAGTAAGAGACGTGAAACTTAGAAAGTGATGCGAGTCAATCTGTGGTTTAGTACTATAAATACTTGAGTATATTAGGAATTCTCCCCCTACCCAAAATAAGAGGAGCAGTCTCTGTGGATGAGGGAAAGCACCACAGGGTAAAGAAGTGAAGGTGTCTTCTCTCTGCTCCCTTGGTCCCCCTCTCCCCATGCCAAGCCAGCTCCGCTAGTCTGGAGAAGTCATATAGCGTCATGTGAAGGGCGGGGACTCCACAGCCAGGCTCTTTGGGTCCAAATCCTTGTTCTACCACTTTTTAATTGGATAATTTTCTGATCTGCTCTGTGAGTCAGTGATCTCATCTATAAAATGGAGATAAAAATAGTACCTACCTCAGACAGTTATTGTGAAGCTTAAATGAGTTAATACATGTAAACTTCTTAAAATAGAACCTCAAGCAGCTAATGAACATCAGCTACAGTGTTAGCTCCTAGTCCCATTATCTCTTTAGGGTCATTCAGTCTGTCATCAAGTCTGGTAGGAACCCTTTTTCTTTCTGTTCACTCCTACAGTTACCACCCTAATAAGGATGGAGGAAGAGCTGGGCTGAAAATCTTTGATGTCTGGGTCCACCAATGTAATGACATTACACAACCTTAGACCGTTACCCCCCACAAACTGAGGGAGCTGGAATAAAGACACTCCCAGGAGTTTTTATATTTTGGTCCCCTCCTCCCACCCCATGCTCCCAGTTCTAAGAATCTCTGAGTTTGCAATCCATTAATAGTAATTGCCAACAGCATCAGGTATTCCTATGTACCAGACACTTTCTAAGCACCATATATGTATTAACTCCTTTAATCCTCATAATGACTCTTAGGTAAGTATTACCATTATCTAATTTTTCAGAGAAGAAAACTAAGGCACAGAGGGGTTTAGTAACTTGCCCGTGATCACATATTGGTCAGTGGCAGAGCCAGGATTTGAACCCAATCAATCAGGTTCCGAGGCCTGTCCCGTAACTCTGCGGACACACCTCCCCTCAAGGGCACAACCCCTCAACACTTTGTCTTGGAAGCACTGGATCCTCCCTCTATGCCCAGCTGACTCCTCCATAAGATGCCATCTTCATTCCTAATTTTAGGGTATGTCCATGCCTCTCCCCTCTGCATCTATCCAAATCCTTCAGGGCCAGATCTCCTCCCTGAAACAGCCCTTTCCTGACTTGGGTCCACATGATCCCCATCATCCTATTCCCTGCACCCCACCCACGCTCTCCTAGTTGGCTTCCCTAGCATCTTGCTGGGAGGCACCAGCTCTCAACAGAGAAAGAAAACCCCTGCTGCTGCCCAAGGAGGAGTGCTGAGCACAGAGCTAGGAAGGACAGCCTGGCTGCAGCCACTCTGGAAAGTGACTGCCTCTCTCTTTGAGTCACCCCCAGACCCTCCAATGTCAACTTCCTGAATACATGTGGCCAATGCCTTAAGTTAGCCATCACCAGGCACATACTCTTAAATATGGTGAAAACCCACCCAACTGTTTCTATGAGCTTCACCAAACAAAAGAATAGACAGAAAGTTAATTTGAATGTAAGTGGATAATGGCTGTCAGGGAGTAGGCTTTCTATCCTGGTTCTCTTCCTACTCTCACATCCAGAACATAGCCCGGAGCAAGTCCTTGTACAAACTTGCTGGAAGGAAAGATGGAAGAAGGGAAGAAGGAGGTAGGGGCAGGGGAGAGAAGAGATAAAGAGAAAAGGAAAGAAATACTTAGAAATGGAGACAAAAAAAAGACTTAAATGGAGAATTTGAAGTTAAAAAGACAGGGAACCAGAGTAGAAGGAAGGGGGGAGGAAAGGAAGAAACACAGAAAAAAGAATGAAGAGTGTGAAATGAAGGAGAGAGAGGGTGGAAGTCCATTGCTGTTCCATGGGCACAGTCTAGTGTAAGGAGCTCAAGGGCAAGAATCACATCCTGCATTCTTTGGACACTCCTGAACGCTAAGCCAGTGCTCATACATGCTAGGTACTCAACAAAGGTTTGGGAAATCATTTTTCCTTTACACGTCTGGTTTTGCCTTACAGATCTCAACTCCAAATTTACAGCAGCTCACTTTTGTATACCTTGGAAGAGACTAAGAAAAATGGATAGAAAAAATAAATGGTTTGGTGATGCCCATTTAAAATTGGACTGTGTTCGAGAATCAAATGTCTTGTGCTATGGTGGATGGGGATGGGACTAGATGTGATTCTCATCACCAACACTGAGATTTATTTGCCTTCTTTTTGGATTCTCTCCTTTATTAAAGGACCTTGTGGATTACTTACGGATTCACTCACATAGTGCTGCTTATGCTGTAGCCATGAGCCCCCCGATAGCAGAGCAAGTCATCAGATCAATGAAATTCATCATGGGACTGGATGGGACCACACAAGGTAAGAGGGTCTGCAGTGTGCAAAGCTCCCAGGAACTCCTGTCCTAGACCTGTGTCTGTCTCCTTTCTGCCCCTTTGATCTCCTCCCTTCTCAAATATACACCTTTGTCTTAATGTAACCCAATTTGTAAATCAAGCCATGTGCTAAAAGTTTCTAGTACATTTCTAGTGACTGCTGTCAGCACACACACACACACACACACACACACAAACGCTTTGCTAAAGAAAAGAAAACTTTCTAATTCACTTCTTAATGTGATCAGCAAATTTGGATAATTTTGTGTAATTAGTTGTGTTAAAATGAAGCAAATAGTGGTGTATTTGCTTATGCTTGCTTGGGGCTGTGACTTATGTTTCCCTGAGAATAAACTAGTCAATTTAATCTTCATTTTTTTAATCCTTTTATTTATTTTTTGCCATCCAAGTGTTGGGGAGGAGAAATCCACCACGGTCATTTGAGGATATATGGGCAAAAGACACACAATGATAACTTCCCAGCCATTTCTTTGACACTGGGTCACCACAGCCAAAGTGTGCTACTTTGCTCAACCCAAATGAGCTTAATCTTCTTTATAAAAAATCGTTTCATCAAAGCCTCTTGGAACTCTCCTTCTATATTTCAGATACAACTTGTAGAGCTTCGACTACATATCACAATGAGGGTACAGTGATGAATAAGGCAGTCCTTCCTGCCAGGCAATCTAGTGAGTGCATTTATGGTGGGAGATAATTATCCTGGCCCCAGAACTGGGATATACAATCCATGTGCTCTGCCCCACCTCCCAGCTGATGTGAAGCCATTGCACATTCTTTAGTGAAACTTTCCAAGCCTATTGTTTCTGTAGAAGTATGGAGAGATCCATCATTTTTCAGTTTTGTTGAAGTAGCAGAATACTTTATTCACATACAAATTTTACCCAGAAGCTTACAATATAAAACAGATTAGAACAGGGTTGATCTTGTCAAACTAGTGTCTCCACCTACCTCTGTACTGACGGCCTCTGAGGCCCTTCTGCTGAGCCCTGGTGCTCCCCAGAACACTGGTTTGAAAACCCCCAAGACAGACCTATCTTTTTCACTAGAGCAGGAAAGTGGCATGTAGAGTGATCTTGTTCCTCCATGTAAAATGCAATGATTGATTGATCTCTAAAGTCCTTTCCAACCTTGCCTTTTGGGTTTCTTGATTCTCTCTCATTGTATAGTCTGTGTGAAAAGGAAATGAAAATCCCGTCTAGGAAGGCTGCGTGGTGCAATGGTTAAGGGCATAAACTGAAAATGGCTGCCTGGATTTGACTCATGGGATACTACTTACTCACTGTGTGGCCTTAGGCAGGCGACTTAACTTATCTGTTCTGTTCAACCCTGAACAAGTTACTTCTCTGTACTTCAGTTCCTCCAGCTGTAAAATGAGGAAAATAATATTGATGAGTTAAGGTTTTTGTGAGAATTAATTAAAATATATAAAATACTTAAAATTATGTCTGAAAACAATTTATATAGTAAGCATTTTATAATTGCTTGCTACGTTATTTGCTACTATTCCTGAGGTTCAAGAAGCATTTGGACCCCTTCTCAGGGATGCTGTAGGAAGCATTCTTATGATGGAAGTGAGCAAAGACTAGATGTCCTCCAGGGTCCTGCATTAGTCAGGATAAGCTAAATTATGCCACCGTAACAGATAAACCCTAAAATCTCAGCAACTTAACAGAACCAAGGGTTATTTCTTGCTGGCACCAAGTCTAACACAAATCAGACAACTCCCTGCACAGTTCCCCTCCATGGGGGCAGTGACTCAGGCTGCTTCTAGCTTGAGGCTTGGCCAACTCATCATATGGCCTCCATGGTCGCCGTGGTAGAGAACAAGGGAGCATCAGCCTGCAAGTGACACTCACCACATTGCTTACAGTCCACTGGCCAAAACTTGTCACATGGCCATACCCAAATTTGGTGGAGTGGTAAATTAAGGGGTACAGATATGGATAAGCAGATATCTTTCAACCTCTTAAAACTGAAGCTATAAATAGAGCTGTATCCATTCCCACATGAGCTATCAGTTTGTATGAAAGAACTGGTCTGAACACCTGACTTCTCACAAAGCCATATTAATGATCTTGAATTTCATGCGTTTCTTAATGGAAAACAATTATTTGAGATTTCAGCTAAAATGCAAGTTAAATGAATTGTCCTATAATGACCAGAATTATCCTTTGGTCTTCTTTTAAAGATGAATAACTAGGAAAAAGTTATCCTGAAAATTAGCATATGTGTCAATAATGACCATCAATTTCTTCAACCCTTTAGTGTATATGTTATCTGAATCAGTGGATTTCCATCTACCCAACTTTATAATCAGGATTGGTTCACCACTTCATCCCAGACAGAACTTACTCTGTTTATCTGATCACAGTTGAAGATCTGCAGAAAAATTACATTTCAAGATATTATAATTTGTCCTTTGATAGTCGTCTATCATCAATTTTTCTTCCTCTGACATGAGAGATATTCCCCTTGGTTCTCTCTCTTACCCTTCTAATTAAAGAATTATTTGGTTATTATTTTTAACCTCCCAGTTAACATTTCTCTCTTCTCTTGCCTTCTTAAGAGAAAACAAAATTTAAAATACAGAGAAGGCTATGTGTACAGTCTGTTTTCTTAAAGCCAAGATTGGAGAACCAGGGAGAAGATAGGATAATTTCTTTACAAAGGAATGAACAAAGGAAAGTAGTAGAAAAGAAAATTGACAGAACCATCAGCCAAGTTTCAGATGGTTCTGCCTGACATGTCTTTTGAAGAATTCAAAGGCATATAGTGAATGATCATTCTGGCCTCATTTACAACAATGCCTGCTTTAAATAAAATGAACAGGACAGGTTGGGAATATTGCATTAACTCACCCCTTTCTGCCAAGATAGACCAATTCTCAGGGTAAAGTCGTCCAAAGCTCAGAGATGCACTATGTCATGCCAGAGCTGCCTTACAGGATCTGAGAAAGAGCGCCCCGCTTTGAGCCTTCATCTTCAGCCCACTCTGCTGCAACTGTGATTGGAGCCTTTCAAGGCTTTGTTTCGGGTCGAGTTTGGGGAGTAGTGGGCCAGATCTGTTCCTTGATGAATGTCTTCACTTTAATCTGCAATGCGAAGCCAAACGCTTCAAAGACAGGCGAGCTACAGGAATAAGGTCAGTGTTCCTTTGAAGCCAAGGTTCAAAGATGAAATAGCAGGCCCAGTGAAATGACAATGTTTATGCACAAACAGCTACCTTCACTCCGCAGCCAGGCTTCTCATGGAGTTAATGCACACAGGCTGAGGGACTGCAGGCCACGCGTGCATTCCACATGCACAGAGGCCCTTTTCATCTCCTGGCCTGTCACTCGTGCAACACAATGAGCCCAAAGTGGAGATTTGGTTTCTCCATCCTAATGGATGTTGGGTGGTCCACCAGCCAAAGCAATGTTGTAAGCCCGTTAAGGGCAAGAAATGTGTATTGAATTAAGTTGGTGTTCCTCTGAGTGTCAAACCTAGTGCTCAGCTTAATAAATATGTCATGACTCAACTTCCACTGGCCTACTCGATTTCAGGTCAGTGTTTATGCTAAACAAGATCTAGAGGATGTTTATCTCATAGGACTGGGAGCCGGGAAGCAGTTCCACACCAGTTGTGGCAGCTGAAGGGATCCCTCAGTGATTGACATCACTTTTGAGCAGGTCCAGAAAGATTGCAGCTCAGCCATTTTCTTCATCTAGATGAAGCAGCCACAAGAGCGTGAGCCCCAAACCATGCCAATGACTCCCCTAAAGAGAGCATTGTCAATGTTCATCTTATTATTATTTATTTAATGCTTTGATGCATATTTTTTGGTTAATCAGTCAATATTCTTTTTGAACTCCCAATCTTGGCCCTGCCTCCCCACCCTCCCTTTCCCAACTCTGGGGAATCTTTCACTTCTCAGAGACAACAGAGATTGTATCGCATGGAGGATTAAGGGTGTGTGCTCTGGCATGAGATCCAGTCCCTGGCCCGCCATGACTGGCAAGGTGCTTACCATCTCTTAGCCTCAGTGCCTTCATTGTAAATTGGGGTTGTAGGGAGCATTAAATGATGTAATATAATTAATGACCTTAGCATGATGCTTATACATAGTAAACACTCAATAAAAGCTAACAGTTACTGTTATTTTTAACTCATCTGATTTCTTCCCTTCCTTCTCCAAATTTTCCAACAGTTTTTACCCATCTTGGAATTTTCCCTTTCTCTCAGACCTTATAGCTACTCTATCAGCAAATCCTGCAGCACTTCCTTTGACGTATATCCAGAATCTGGTCACTTCTCAGCGGCTCCTCTGCCACCTCTATCAGTTCTCACCTGGGTTACTGGTGTAGCCTCCTGAATGATCTCCTCACTGGTTCTCTTGCCCTTTTATGACTTGCTATCTATACAGAAGCCAAAATCATTTAAAAAAAATTTAACTCAGACCATATCACCCCTCCACTCAGAACTTTTCATTGCTTCCCATATTACTCAGTATGAAGTCCAGACTGTGGCCTTCAAGGCTTCTCATGGTATGGTCTTCCATTTTTCCACCACTCTTTCCCTTGCTTGGTCCACTCCGAGCAGCCGGCATCCTTGCTTTTCATAGAATGCGGGGAACAGCTCCTGCAGAGGGTCTTCGCACTCGCTGGCCTCTCTAGAACAGCATTTCTGACCAATATCTGCAAGGCCCACTCCCCCACTTTCCTTGCATCTTGGCTCAAAATCAGCCTCATTAGGTGAGCAACCTTATCCTAAATCGCACCCCCTCCCTGTCCCTCTAATTCTCCTCACCTTGCTTTAGACTTCACAGCGTTTATGAGCACCTGACAAATTATATGTGTGTCTCCTCATTTTCTGTTTTCCCTCACTAGGATGTAAACTCTAGGAAAACAAGCATTTTGTCTATTTTATTCATTACACTGAGGACAGTGCCTGGCAATTACAGGTCCTCAACAAATATTTGTTGAAAGAT